ACTTTAGTTTTGATGCAAAAACGCATGATCGCACCGGCTCGCCTGATGCGTTCCAGCCTTTGTTTAGTAACTAAATTCATGCTGCCAACGAGTGGCATTCTCAAGGTGAAAATTGACTAATTCGAGAGACATTCGCAGTGACAGCATGCGTACCTTGATGCATTGCAACGGTGGGTAATTGCAGGCGTTTGTTGCAGAACGGAAGGACTCTGCGTTTAGCATGTGAGTGCTACTAAAAGCACTACACTAAGATTCACCAGATCTACTGATTCAGTAGTAGAATCCATTAATAGATTTTGTCGGAAAATTCTCAATAATCCCGATTTTCAGGCAGAAAATGGACCTGCTGACTTCGGTCTTTTGTTTTTTCATTGTTCTTGGTATATTGCTGATCTTATCTAACGGATATTTCGCATATATCCTTATAACTCATCGGGTGCTTTTACGGAGATACTGTGCAATCACAGTACAGGTAAAAAAAAAGCTAATATTTTACGAATTTCATTGACCATTTACATCTGATTCCGATGGAGCTGTGAGAATTGTCGGGATTACCAAGATCGCCCAGGCTGTCAGTGCAGGCTTTACATATTGGTAATATTACTAGAATGCTCCCATGTGTTGTACGCATTTGCGGCAGCTCCTTCCACCTTGTGCTGCTACCTTCATTTGTGACAAGTCTACCATCCGTTCGAAACATGGGAGACACCTTTTCCAGAAGCGCCGGTCATCATCCCTATTGTTTTCATAATCTTTACAAATTGAGAACCTACAGCTGTGCTATGTAATTATGGTCGGAATTCCCTTCAATAGTACTACAAATATCACTTCACTGGTGTCAAAAACTGATGATAAACTGTTTTAAGTGTATTGTAAACACAGCGGAAGGAATTGCATTACTGATATCAGGAATAGCACGACTGATTATCATGAAGACGGGTTTTGAGGCGGAAACCAGTAAACGAATTTGCTTGCTCGTACCATGGAATTTGCTTTTCATTTGGTAAGACTTCGCTGCACCTGAATTTCTGGCTTCTGATGTGGTGGTTTCGAAACCTCCATTAGATTCAAACTCAGTAATAACTGAGTGGTTATTGAAAAAGCGAAATCCGCTGGGCAGCGAAAGTTACTCTTCTTACTAGCAACGGTAGGAAACTGCAAATTATTGAGAAGTACCCGGAAAAAAAAAATGCCCCAGCGGCATTTGAGAAACACATGCGTTGAAAATATAACGAGTTCCACCAACTGAAAGTCTGCAACCTACGATCGAGGCGTTTGCATAGATTTTCGGTATAAGGGAGCATTATAATAACTTGACAATGTGAGGTACGTACACCAACATTTGAAGAGACTAGGCAGTTTCGGAAATGAGTTGGAGAAAAAGTCACTCAGAGCTGAAGGAAAAAAATTTTTTGTTGTTATCTAGCAGAAAGTACATTCCGTGTTCAGACCCACTCCGTTGGAAAGATATAGCTTACATTTTTGGATTGCAGGGCTGAGCCAATGCAAGCAGTATCGCTGCTGCTGGTCGGCATTGACCGATTTTTTGCAGTATTTTTACCTATATTGTACTTTAAAAAACATTTCAAAATCCAGATCATTGAGGTTCGCTCATTTTATGGATTCTTTGTTACTTTGCACACAACGCAGAAACAATTTTCGCAAAACTGCGTTTAATTTTTCATGGATCATAGCGCATGCAGTTATGTGTTTTTGCATAATATGCAAAAACACATGTTGTGACAACCCCGGTGTGTGTATGTGTGTGTGTGGGTGTGTGTGTGTCTGTCCGGGTATTTCAACTCGGTACCCAAGCAAGCTCAGGCGCCAAAATTTTGCGAGTGGGTTCACCGGCCAAATGCCACCCCAGGACCGCGATACCAACCCTCAAGCACCTCCAGGCCCCGCGTACGAGAGCCTCAAATTTTTGGCGGGAAAATCGGTAACTCGAGAACCAGAAAAGCTAGAGAGCTGAAATTTTGGGATTATGTTTCCAGTCCAAGTAAAACTCAAAGATTTCAAATTCAGCCCATGGGGGTTCATGGTTCCCGCGTACGGCCCCGTGAGGGTACCTGGCGCGAAAATCGCTAGCTCGGAAACGAAGAAAGCTGGGGGCTGAAAGTTACAGAAAAAGTTCCCAGCTCATCTACAAATTAAATTTATCAAATTCAGTCCTCTGTTATGCGTGGTTGCCACGTACGGCCCCGTGAAAGTTTTTGGGGGGGAGGGGGGAAGAGGGGGAATGGCTAACTCCAGAACCAGGGAAGCTGGGAGGCTGAAACTTTCAGGAAATGCTCCCAACTCATCTTCAACTTAAATTCATCAAATTCAGCCCTCCGTTATGCGTGGTTGCCACGTACGGCCCCGTGAAATTTTCTGGCTGAAACATGGGTAACTCGGGAACTGAGAAAGCTGAAAACCTGGGATTTCGAGGGAATGCTCCCTGTCCAAGTATAGCGTGGATAATTAACTTTCCGAAATTCGAGGGCCAGTATGTACAAGAGGTTTCTAGCTAGCGGA